CACCCCCTTGTGTATAAAGTCACTGTGGAAAAATGGTTGATACATGCTCATTACTGGTGATTGTAAAATAAATTTGAAGCCCCTTCCTGAATTTTGGGGAGTGGGTCATACCAAGAATATTTCATCATCCTTTCACATATCCCCATACATATCAGTGTAGCTTTAGAGTTAATTGGAATACAATTAAAATGATTTTTGTCTTAAGATAAATAGGAATAGATAGGTTTGCCTATTGTCCGGTTCACACTCCTTCCCCATCTTCAGGAGTAGAAGTTTATAACTTGTTTCCTGTTTAGGATGTGGGTTTCCAGTTCCTTCTCCTAAAGTCTTCTCATTTGCTTTTATTCAAGTAACCACTTGCATATTAATGGCATCACTGTCTTGTTTGAGGTGAAATGATTAAAAAAAAAATTGACAGATTTAAGAAAAATGCTGTGACAAAAACAAAGGGCCATATGAGTTCTTCATTGACCTGACAAGTGTTCAATATCAAAAGCTGATTTGGTCTCGATAAAATCTCAGGCAGGTTTGGTTGCCCACCAATGTTTCACATCAGTTTTATCCAACTCCTTGAGATATAAATTGGTCAAGTGTCAAGTTGTGAACAGCAGCAACTCGTCTAGATCATTTCTCATTGAAAAAGGGCCATAAAGCAAAGTTGCGTGCTGGCTGGAATACAAATGACAACCTGTTCAATCAGGTAGCTATTGGCAACAAAAAGACATCAATGCAAAACTACTTCTGTTTGTTGATGATGCAGTTCTAGATGCTCATTCCGAAAATGTCCCTCAACAGATAACATTCTACTTCGCAAAGGCCACATGAGTCTGACTTTGAAGCTGACCCAAGGAAAATTATCATCGTCCATCAAAATGTTTCTTGTGACAAGCTGTCTTCTTTCATCAATTCAATAAATCTGGAAGCAGTCTAGAACTTCATTTATTTTGGTTATGTCTAATCCACTGAAATCAAAGTCATACAAAGACATAAACAATAGACTTGTTAAGGCAAATAAAGTCTTTACTTGACTGTAGAAAAAAAAAAACATTTGGAGCAACAAGAAACTGAGGAAAGACACAAAATTAAATGTCTTGAAATCCATTGTGCATATCATAGAGGTAAAATTAATATTCAGTTTATTCACAGTCTTTGAGCAGAAAAGATAAAATTACTTTCAGAAAAGAAAATATCATTTACTAGCGATATAACCTGTCTTCAAACACATGTTTTATTACTCAGAATTTTTGTCGTTCAATTGGAGCAGTTTAAGTTTAAAGTCGGCCCACCCAAAAATCAATATTAGTAACAATAATTGGGTGCAACTGAGGCATATCCTCAAAGGGGGGAGGGTAACAATTTAAATGAGGGGTCGGCCCTGAAAGTGCCGTTTTTGTGTTCTCAATCTTACAAGGAAGGTACCTTTTCCATAGACTTTCATAATAATAATATATGGTCATTTTTACTTATCATATAATTTTTTTATAATTCTAATAATCTTTTGCATGAAATTTCAACTCTCTAAATTGATTGTATGCTGTTTTTTTACAGACATTGAATTTTGCCTTTGATTTTTGTGCAAAGTGTAAAAAAATTAGTTTTTTTTAATTTTCACCTTCAAGGTTGTAATTTTGAGAATTTGGAATCAAAACCGGCACTGAAGAATTATCTATCAAACAAAAAAAAATTTCATTGAAATCAGATGAAAACTGTGGAAATGCATAAACAACATCTAATCACACACACACACACTTTAAGAATTATAGATATATAGAAGATGGATGTAAAGGACATGGAATCCAGGTATTTTAAATACAACAAAAACTAGGCAGAGTTTGGTATACTTCTCAAATAAAAATATAAAAGAATTTAGGATTAGTTACTAAATTTATGGGATGAGGAGTTATCATTATTTACATTCAGACTAAAGTCCACTTTTTTTTTTTACCATATACCCCTCTGGCCTTCTACAAGGGGTCTGTTAAACCAGGTAACCTTTAAAAAATTTCAAACTGAACCCGTTATTTAATTTATGGGGATGGATATTTCTCTCATTCTCCTGACCATGTTTAGGGATATCTCATCTTGTTCTTAGTTATTGCTCACTCTATTTTTCTTAGTCTGGTTCATGTATTTGGTAATTTAGTAATTGTGAGTTCAATCCCTGGGCTAGGTAGTATAGACTTAGACTCAGTGGAAACAAGTCAAGGAATAACTGAGCAATACTAAAGAGGTAATTGTGTGTTCAATCCCTGGGCCCGGTTGTGCAGATTTAGACTCAGTGAGAGTGAGCAATAATTAAGCAGTACTAAATAAGAACTAGACAAGATAGCCCTGGACGTGAATTATCTTTACTTGTAGATTAAATAAAGGGTTCAGTTCGATTACCCAGATTTTTGCACTTCTTGCCTGTGGAACTTCCTGCAAATTTCTTGCTTCACAGAAACCTATAATCTTAAAAAATTTGAATACAATGCCAATCACATTTTTCTGTCTTCCTGAACCCTGCTTATTATCCCCACTAAAGTCTTCTCATTCTCTTCCACTTACATGATGTTAAATGTC